ATTCGTCCGGAGGACTCCATGGTGGTAAGGGGCCGCTTGATCGGTTGGTCGGTATACACGACGACTGCATGTGCCAGAAAGTAGGGCTTCAATTTTTTAACAGCCATGAAGAGTGCAAGACCAAATTTCTCCACTAGGGGATACCTCAACTCGGCATTTTTCAGTACGTGACTGACAAAGTAGACCGGGAGTTGACAGCCGTCCCTTTCAGCAAGGAGCACCGCGCTTAACGCATGATCAGAGACGGCCAGGTACATGTAGAGATTTTCTTTGGGCAAAGGGCTAACCAGCCTCGGCAAGGAATGCAAGTGAACCTTTAATTTCTGGAAGGCGGCCTCAGCATCCGGCCCCCATTCAAACCTTGCCTTCTTCTTAATTGCCTGGAAAAAGTATAGGCATTTGTCGCCTGATCGGCTTAGTAATCTTCCCAAGGCCGCCAGACAACCTGTTAACTTCTGAACCTCTCGAACGGTACGAGGCGACTGCATGTCAATGACCGCCTGTACCTTCTCGGGGTTCGCCTCTATTCCTCTCTGGTTGATAAGGAATCCGAGAAATTTCCCAGACTCAACTCCAAATACACATTTCTTGGGATTGAGCATGACATGGTGCCGCCTGAGTGTGGCGAAAGTCTCTCGGAGGTCCGTCAGATGATCTTTCTGAAGTTTAGTCTTGACAATCATATCATCAATGTATGCCTCGACGTTTCTCCCAATCTGATCAAAGAACACTGTGTTTATCATTCGTTGGAAGGTAGCCGGAGCATTCTTAAGACCAAACGGCATGACCGTGTAACAGTATAATCCCTGATCAGTGACGAAGGCCGTCTTCTCCTGATCTTTCTTCCACAAAGGAATTTGATGAAAACCAGAATAGGCGTCCATAAAACTCATCAAGGCATGGCCGGCTGTTGAGTCGACCAGGTTATCAATTTTAGGCAGAGGGTAACTGTCTTTGGGGCACGCCTTGTTCAAGTCTGTGTAGTCTACACACATTCGCCAGGTGCCATTCGGCTTTTTAACAAGTACCACATTTGCAACCCAATCTGGGAAGTAACATTGCCGAATGAACCCTGCATCAAGTAATTTTTTGACTTCGGCGGCTGCCGCCTGACCTCTCTCTTCACCATGGTTCCGCTTCTTTTGCCGTACCGGCTTCTTTTTCGGATCCACAGCGAGTTTGTGTACTGCCATATCAGGACTAATGCCTGGCATTTCATGGACTTCAAATGCAAAGATGTCCTTGTATTCTTTCAACAAGTTGTGAAAGTCGGCACCAAGGTTTCTTAGAGCAGCCGTCCCTACTTTGACTGTTCGGTCAGGATGGGAGTCGTCTAATATCAGGTCCGCATGCTCACCAGCCGGCTGAGGGCGGAACTCATCCGGCCGGTCCTCTGCCAATGATTGCTATTTTCTTGCTTTTCTTGCGGACTCAGTCTGGAGTGCCTTTCTCTTTTTGTCGCCTGTTTCTTGAACAGGCGCACTTTCCTTGACATTGTCAAGGTCTGTTTTTTCTCCACTTGACCCAGTGGCCATAACAGTGGGCTTGACATCCGAGAGATAGCACTCTCGGGCCATCCTCTGATCTCCCCTAAGGGAGCCGACTGTTCCATTGTCCCTTTCAAACTTAAGCAGCATAAGTGACGGGATTATAACAGCCTTGGAATTATTCAGGGTTGGTCGACCCAGAATCATGTTGTAGGCAGAGAGTTCCTCTACCACTAGGAACCGGACTACCATGTGTCGTCCTTCCCCTTTTTCGCCCAGGCGGATGGGTAGATCTACTCGTCCCAGTGGGTGGACGACTCCTCCCCCAAACCCTATTAAAGGGTGGGAGGCCGGATGTATGCAGTCCGTCTGATATTTCAGTTTTGATAGACATTTGCTGCTGATGAGATCTGAAGAGCTCCCGGTATCTATGAGGATTCGACCAACTCTCTGGTTGGCCACTTTACATTCAATAACGAGAGGGTCGTCATGCGGCCCCTTATTCCTCCTAGATCCTCTTCAGTGATGACAATCTCAGGAAATGTATATTTGGACGGTCGTTCTTGGTGAACGGAATTTACATCTAACCGCCTTATATTATCTTTGTTGCCCCTAATAGAGGGGCCGCCTCCTGAGAAGCCGCCTGCAATGGTGTAGACGACTGCATCATCTGTATCAGAACTGTCGGCCTGCTGATTCTTTTTGGCCGACTGCTTTTTTGAGGAAGTGTTTCCCGCAGATTTCTTGACATAAGTGTCAAGATCACCTTGATCAGCCAATCGGTCTAGGTACCGCATGAGACTGATGCAGTCATTGGTGTGATGACCAATGTCATCATGATAAGCACAGATTTTGTCTTGGTTCCGGTTGCTCGCAGAACCCTTCATGGGGAGCGGCTTCTCAATTGAGAGCCGTCCCTTTATTTCTTTTAGGATAAACTGGTTATCCTTGTTAAACACATATTTTGGGGAGTATGGTTTGAATTCTTTTTTCTTTTTCTGGGCCGGCTGTTTAGAGGAATCAGCCGCCCAGACCCCTTTTCTTTTTTCATCCTTGTTGGACGACTGTTTCTGTCGTCCCTCTCTATTGTCGAACCTCTTCCCGTCCGACTGTTTCATCGTACACAGATCAGTCGCCTGTATATAGGCTTCTGCTTCAATCAAGGCCTCTTGAAGAGTCGCCACCCTTTTTCGAACTAAATCAAATTTGAAGGTAGACCCGTCTTTGAGACCTCTAAAAAAGTCAGTATAAGCTACCTCATCCGGTAACCCTTGAATCTGTATTCTCATCAGGTTGAACCGCCTGATGTAGGAACGAAGCCCCTCCTTTTCACCCTGCTGAATTGTTCCCAAATCAAGGGTCGTTTTCTTCGCAGGGATGTTCATTGCGAAGTTGGAGGCAAATAAGTAAGCAAGCGTCCTGAAGCTGTTTACACAACCAGTCGGCAGGTTGCCGAACCATTGCTGTGCAATTCCCTTGAGAGTCGCTGGGAAACACTTGCACCAAGTGGGATCATCCAACCCTTGAAGGTACATCAGGTTGGTGAATGCCATCAGATGGTCTTCCGGGTTAGTAGTGCCATCATAGGCGCCTACTAAAACATTTTTTACTTTGGCCGGCTGAGCGGCTTCAGTAATTTCCTTGGAGAAGGCCGACGGCTGTTCACCAAGTCTAAGCAGCCGTAGCTGCCAGTCCATAGGTTGGACGTTTTTTGCTGCAGGTCCACCAAATGGAGGTGGCTGCATAAAATACTGTTGTTGCGGCACAAATGGTAAGTTTGGTACCGCCTGGGCACTATGAAAGTCGGACTGACGGGAGGTGCCGCCTGACTGACTCTCATGGTACGACTGAGTTGGCCTCATCGAGGCGTTTCGCAAACTGTCCTGAAAATTTGAAGTAGAAGCCGACTCTGATAATCGGTCACTCTTCTTCTGCTCTAGCAGGTGCCGAGCATCTGTGAACGTTTGCTTTGACCCGTCCGCCTGAATATGACGAACCGGTTTCCTATTTCCCGTAGGGTAACGGAATTTTGTGAAATCAAGAGCAGACGGTTCCCGCTTCTTGGATTTAGGATGGGGAGTCGCCTCTCGCCCTTGAACTGGCTTCCTCCTCAGTGAAGTGGAAGGTTTCTTGGCCGACTGCTCTTTGACTGAAGCAGGCGGTTTTTTGTTGATCAACTCTTGGATCTCTCCCTTGAAGTCCCTCATGAAGGTCATGAGTTCGTTCCTTGTGATGGGAGCAGACCCATCAGTCGGCTGTTGCCGAGCAAGCGGTGCGCCTGCTGGCTCGCTTCCTGTTTGAAGATACTCCCGTTCCCTTATTTCAGTATGACGGGTACGGCGGGCCCTTAGGGTCCCGTCTGGAGCTGTATGAGTTTCAACTTCAAATTCACTTTCGGTATCATGGTCCGACTGAACTTGAGGGTCGTCTAGGGGACGCCTCTCTTCTGGAGTCGGTACAGACTTGGATGCCATCTCTGAAGTACTCTCCCCACAGACGGCGCCAAATGTTTCGGGGTTTTCTGATGTCCTGCGGGAGAGTTACAATTCCGAGACTGGAACCGGACGTCTGTACCTGCAAAATAACGGAGACTCCTGAGAGCTCCGCCTCCAACGGTCAAGTTAGTACCTGATTAAGGAGTAATCAATACAGAAAGTAAAGTAATGAGATCTCTCTAGGTGAGAGTGCTTAGTGTTGGTAATCTGCGTTGTTAGCGTGATTAGCCGGTTGTTAATAAGTCTGTTCTTCTCTGCTTGATCTCTTAATTATTCGGTTGTTTTTTTGTTTTTTGATTAATGAGGATTAATCGAGTATTTATAGCCTTGGGAAGCGTGCAACTCTCTAGGCTTAAGGTAAACCTAGGGCTGATCGGGCCTCTAGACTGAAATGGGCCTTGATGGCCGGTTGTCCCACTTGGCATGGGTGGACACGTGGCGTGTCTTAAGTGGTCCGTGGAGGACGTATCTGTGACTGACACGTGGCAAGCTCCTGTTGGCCTTCGTGAAGGACACGTGGCGGAACCTGGTTGGTCCACTTGTCAGACGGTGATTGGTGGATAAAAATCCCCTAATCAACAGCAATGCCAAACGAACCCTTAATTATTGATTTGATATTGTGTTTGACAAAGTAACTTTTCAAAATTATTAAAGCTAGTTAAAAAGAAAATTAAAGTTACTCAACAACCTTATCAAAATTAAAGCTACCTAGCTTATCAAAAATCTGTATCATCTTTATGTATATGTACATTCATTGAAAGTTACATGTAATTTACAAAAAAAACTAGCTTTATTTATATCTTTCAATTTTAACTAGTACGGAGTAGCTATATAATAATAATGTCCGTCAATAAACTTATCTTTCAAATTTAGCAATAATTTCTGCTAAAATTTTGTTGATATTTAGCAATAAACTTCTTTATAATATAATAATACAATGTTCAAAGAAGCTTTGAAATGTAAAATTTTATTGACAAAATTGTGTTAACGAAAACTTGTACGTGTGTGTTGTTGGCAGACAGATACAGCTTCAGTGTTGATGGAAGCGATTGGATACATCAAATTCCTCCAAAACCAAGTTGAGGTACGAACAACGTAACAAACATACTACGTGTACTTATTATTTTTAAGGTGAAGAAAACAAGGCTTAAATATATGGTAAAACATTGTTATTAATGCAGACACTAAGTGTTCCATACATGAAGTCATCATGTCACAACAAAAGCTCCAATACTACTCAAAGGGTAAGATCTATGTACGTTTTATTTAATACATGACTACGTAACTACGTATATAATTCATAGGATATACAAAATATACGTATAAATTGAAATTTCACGATGAATTAATGTTATTCTTGCAGGTTAAAGAAGATGAATTTTGTGAGAGTGATGAATCAATATTAAAAGACGACTTAAGAAGCCGAGGATTATGTCTTGTGCCTCAATCATGCATGTCCTATATTAATTTAGCAAGTGATGCTGCCATTAATGGTGGTATTTGGCCATCTCCTAATTTTAATCCTGCTGGCTTCTAATTATAACTTTTAAAAAATGTGTAAAAAGAAAATATATACGAGTATTTAGTAATTATATATATATGTTATTTGTATGATTAATGGAGCAAACTTGGTCATCTTGAATGAATTCATAATATCGAGATAGACCACGTTTGATCCATTTTTTATTTTTCTAAGGCATAATATATAATTAATGTGTTACTAGTGTCAAATCTTTAACTCAATGTAAAGTACATATTTATTATTATTATTATTATTATTATTATTATTATTATAAAAATGTAAAAAAAAAACTACAAAGTCAATCAGTTTACAAGAAATTGGTGGGGAGTCGAGATACAATCTGGGCCCCCACCCCTCTAGCTATACCGAACCCGATTCTATTGAAGATGTGAGCAGCTGCACAAACACCAATATCCCGAGTCTTAGCGAATGCCTGAACCCGCTTCAGCAACGCAATAACATCCTTCTCTAATTCCCCAAACGAAGAAAAGGAGAAAGGAAGAAAATCATAGCCAATAGCCCTACAACGCACCCCATATTTATCCCGCTTCCGCTGAGCCGCCGCAGACACAACACGACAAGGAACGAAGTCAGACAACCCCGATTGTGTCAATGGTGAAGACCCCGTCAAGTCAACACATACATCAAGGCCTCTATCCTAGGAGTAAAGAATCACATCTGATGGTCGAAGAGCACCGTCATTCCCTCCAGTCAACCCAACGCTAACTTCCTTTCGAGCAGAAATCCCTGACCGAAAACAAATATCAACAAGGGTGTCACGAACAACGTTGTTCCGATGTTTAATACCCACCATCCCAGCACAAGACACATTATTATTGTTCAATTATTTAAGGGAGGCTAGATCTTATTGAATACTCGTATAATTTTACAAATAAATTAGGAAAAATGGAAAACAAAAATCCAACCTTTGCACTTTTTCCTTACAAAAATCCAACCTTCATTTTATTCCTCAAAAATCCAACCTTTATACCCTTCTTTCTCCCACAGGTCCATTACCGATTGATGACCATTTTTTCTAAGTTATATGCCACGTGTCCGCATTTAAGAGGTTAATTATTTTTTAATTATTAAAAAACAAAAATAATTAAAAGAAAAAAAAACAAAAACAAAAAAAAATCAGAAATTCCCTTTTCCACCACCACCACCTTCCCCTGCCACACCACTCCCTCTCCTCCTCCCTCCCCTTCGCGCCCACCGCCCATCAGGACCAACGCACACACCACCAAAATGCAAAACCACCGAAACCCAACTCACACACCACCACCTTCCCTTGCCACCAACACACACACCCAACCACCAACAAAAACGCACAACCACCAACTCCACAACCCATCAACCAACACGCACGCCCAGTCACCAACTCCACCACCGAGCAACCAACAAAAACGCACACCCCGCAAACCACCTAGCAGCCAAAAAAATTCAAAAAAAAAAACCCTTTTCATTCACTACACCTCCCCTTTTCCATCACGTCAGCCACCCAAATCAAACCCCCGTCGATTCCTTTAACCCCGAAACCCTCCCCACCTGAAACCTAGCCCCTAAAAACCTCCCGATCTACCTGAAACACAGCCCAAAAAAAGCCCTTTTCCCGAACGGCCACCACTAGCTTGCCCATCCAACCCTTCGCCAAGCCCCATGGAGACGAGGGTGAGAGAGAGAGATAGAGAGGAAGAATGAGAGTGAGAGAAGGGAGGAGAGGTGAAATGACGATGATGAGTGGTGGTGGTGGTGGCGGAGGTGGGGTTGGTGGTTTCACTGTTTGAGGTGAGAGACTAAGAGGAGAGGGGAAGAAGAGGAGTTAGAAAGGAAAATGAGAGAATAAAATAAAAAAAATCTTTTTTAACCTGTTTCAGGTTACAAGTAAAATGGACCTGTTGGAGAAGGAGGGATATAAAGGTTGGATATTTCAGGAATAAAATGGAGGTTGGATTTTTCACGAATAAAATGGAGTTTGGATTTTTGTAAGGAAAAAGTGTAAAGGTTGGATTTTTCTTTTTCATTTTTCCAATTAATTAACCGTACCAAGATCAGGTCTATTGTCAAGGCTCGTATGAGTCATATCCTGCCTCGTCGATCAATCTCTACTGTCTAGTAAGTAATTTGGAAGAAGAAAAAAGAAAGTACCTGAAGGTTCTTGTGTATACATGACTACATGAGTGCTTGTAATACAGAGTAAAAAGTAAGATATTTTGGCATAGTTTCTTTAAGAAAAAATAAAAGAAAAGGTGGCTTAGTTGTAGCCATATGTTAAAGAGGCTAAAGGCATTATAATTACGAAGTGGTCAAGCAATGTGTCTATAATATTGTGACAGAATTTAAAGCTTTTGGCAAGCTCTTAAGATGTTCATTTGCTTGAAGCTAACTACATTCAATTTTCCCCTTTTTGCTAATTTTTGTTTGCAACAAATGATTCTACATTTTACTCCTACATACGTTGAATAACAAGATTATGAAAAGAAGAATAGAGTAATATCGGTAATGTATTATTGTAGTAAACAAAATAATTTATTTTTTTTCAAAGTTCTCAAATCTAATAGTAGCAAATTTTGGTTAATGAAATATACACTAAAATAATTATGAAAGATATATAGTAAATTAATGATTAATTAATAGGTGAAAGTTGTATTTTCTTTATTGTCTCGGTGACATATTCATAATGGAATAACTTTTGTTTATATTCAATAAGATTTATTAATCCCATATTAAGTGTAATATATTGTATGAGGGGAAACAATTTGAATGCATTGAGTTTTAGTCGAAAAACCACAACTATTGAATGTATTATACAGTTATCAATATATATGAGCAAGCTACAACAGTGCTCGTCAATTTTATGGTCTGTTCAATAATGGAGAATAACTCTGAAATATTGCCGACGTATACGTTATAATATTCATTAACCAAATTAGTGTGAATGGTAGACAACGTTAGGCGTTGTTTTGGATTACGATATTCAATAATCACATGTTTACGTGTTACAACATTCTCGTCAAATTAGATTTACAAAATGTTGATCGATATTATCTCAATGTTATAGAGAACAATGACGTGGTTATACAAATCTACCATAAACCCCCACCCTTGAAATCACCCTAAAACCTAAACCCCCACCAATAAAATCATCTTCATCAGTGTGCACCCTACTCAACAGAAATTCACCATCTGACTCATCCAATCGAAACCATTTCTACCAACCTAAAAGATCGCGCACCCTACCCACCTGAACCCTATCCAAAACCCTACCCCACCACCTCGAAAGATCACTTTATTCATCCCCAAACCACCCTATTTAGTTCCTTAAATAACCCTTATCACACAAAAATCAACTCCAATAATATAAAAACCCACCAATTAGGGGTGTAAATGAGTCGAGCCGAGCCAAGTACTACCTTATTTATATTAGTTTTTCTAATAAACGAGAATTTGTATTTTTGACATTTGAAAATAAATTAGCATAATAACTAAATTTTAATTATAAACTTAAAAATTAGATTAACAATTGTGAATAAATTAATAAATTCATGAAAATAAATAAACGAGCAATTCGTATACATAAATAAACAAGTTGTTTTATGAACTTAGTTGAACGATCATATTTGTGGCATATTTATGTTCGTGTTCAAGCTTAATTCGTTTATTAAATAAACGAATATGAATAAGCTTGAACCCGAGTATTTTATTGATCAGCTCAGTACATTTACGCCTTTACCATCAAGCAACCAGATCTAAAATAATTTTGTTAGAGAGAGTGGTAATAACGTGGCGCGCGGCGGCCAATGCTGAACCAGGCTGGTTTAGGTGGGGGATCAGGGTGTGAGGAATTTTAAAGGGGGGAAAGTTAGGCATTTGTAAATGCATAACATTGATTAAAATATTATTAAAACACGTGATAGAGCGAGAAAAGAGGAGAGAGATAGGAAGAGAGAGGTCTGTAGGTGGACCCCACCTATTTTTTGGTCGGATTTGTATCACGTGATGAGGGACCACTTGTTGATTGTTCCATTGAAAGTTTATATGGTACCATTGAATCCTCAGTGGTACTATTTATGCATAAATTTTGTACAACTAAATGCATATATAATACCATTATGTGCATATATAGTATCACTGTATATTCAGTGGTACCATTTGATCATCCAATGATACCAGAATATGCATTCGTTTATACATATGTATAATTACATAAATACCCCTTGTTATGCATTTGTAAATGCCTAACTTTCCCCTATTTCTAGTTCCTCATCAGGGTGTAGCCCATGCAAGGGGAATAGGAAGAGAGGGAGTTGGTCCATTTGTTTTTTTTTTTTTTAAAAAAAAAAAATAGGACCAATTAGAAGGTGACATGTGGTAAGTCACCTTTTAAAACGGGTATTATCTTTAAAAAAATATATACCGGGTATATAGATTTTAAGGGACTGTTTTGAGAAAATAAGGATTATTCTTTTAATTTTTCCAATTATTAATTCTTCTATCTAGAACAGATGAAGTTTACGTTGTTTAGATTAAATTACTCCCTCCGTGTTTTTTTAAGTGTTACATTTTTCATTTCCGACCATGTTTTTTAAGTGTTACACTTTCTTTTTTGGCAAAAAACTACATTAAAATATTATACAAGTATCTCTATTCTTTCATGGTCCCCATTCAAATTCATTACTACCTCTCCTTTCACATTCATTATTTTTCAATAAACTATTAACCCCGCTATATTTCTTTTACAATTTTTTAATACTTTAAATACCCCACTTACCTTTTATTTTATTTAAGTCAATTAAATATCCTAAAATTATGTGTTGTTTGTAACACTTAAAAAAACAAGTATTAAATTAGCACAACCGAAAAAGGAGCCCAAATCCTCCAAAGTAGGGAGTCCAAGTAGCCTGAAAGAACAGTAGACGTGGCAAGACGTAATATGTTGTATGCTGATTATCCTCTCTACCTCTTACCTGGCCCCATTTCTGTCTTCCTCTGCTTACGTTTATCCAAACTCATTAGTTATTATACCAACTTGCATTTCATAAATGACCTATTTACCCTTGCAAATTATCACTTTGACAAATTTCATAACAATTTATAATTTTTTTTAAGATTGCGTAAACTATCATACTAATGACTTTGAATCCAATGTTCTCAACTCATTAATGAAACGAAGGTTTGGTCTAAAGTTTTGTTTATCGGTTTAAACATTTTGTATTTAATATGTAGAAAACATTATTTGTAGTTTTTTTTTGAGGGAAAAAACATTATTTGTAGTTTATGCGCTATTTCATTCCAAAATTGAGTTGGTCATATATCTAAAAGGTATTATGTGACTTGTTATTGTCTCACGTTGTTAATACATAAAAAGCTATATTAGTCGGGGGCAGAACTAGTTTTTTTTTTTAGAGGGGCTGAGCTTAACGTATGTCCTAGTATCTTATACACAATTATAATGTTGAAATGTGAAAAAACAATAAGATCGAGTATTAATAATAAAAAAAAAATGGTAAGATCCCTTAAAAAAATGAAAAGATATGAAAAGGCGAATGTAATGATTGGAGCTGAATTAAATTAAAATTAAGCTGAAGAGAACAAGCCCTTACTATTATTGTCAACCAAGAAGTATGTTTCATTTCTTAGAAGCATGAAACTTTTGACAAGGAAAAAAAAACTTTGTTTTTTCTTTCCAGACAGACAACATAAGATGATAGTGTAATTCGTTCGATCAGTTATTAGTATTATTCATTTTTTTAAAATTTAGTTTATTTCTTCAATAACATTGTAACAACAAGTCATTCTCATTATAAATAGAGCAAGTTTTGTAAAGACATCCTCTAAACCTTAAGTCAACACAACTCATATTTAATTTTTTTATTAAGAAATAATTAGTCTCGACCAGACATCAACTTTCACGAATTTTTTTTTGGAGTTATTTACAAGTCAACACAATTACAATTCCAATGTCAACAATTATTGAGGATGCAAATGTCATTGAGCAAATTACACTTAAAACACAGATAATTCTTCATTTATGTCCACTATATATGGAAATAAAAAAATATCTTCCCAAGAAAAAATAAAATAAAAAAAAGGGGGCCGAGGAATCTCTTATCCAATTTTATCTACTTTGCTTGATTAATTTTCGTCGGTCCATTCTTTAAAAACCCCACCTTTCTCCACTTTGATTCCATTTATTTTTTCGATTTTAATTTCTCTCTTCAAATTATAGCCTCAATTTTGTTCTCATGGTCCCATCAAAATTTCCCAATTTCTTACCACTTACTAAACTATGATCTAACACCCATTTCATTTTTTAGAATTTTTCGAAATTGGGTTATTGTTTTTTTTACAGGAAATTGATCGTTGAGGTCTTTAATAGAAGAATCTCACGCCCTTTGATCGTCATAAAATTCCCAGATTCCTTCAAAGCTTCTCTTTTTTAACAGGTTTGATGCTGGAATCTGAACGATTTATCCATATTTTGTAATTTGATTTAATTGACTGATTTGCAATAACAAGTTAAAAATAAGTAAATATTAGAAAATATTTAGGAAATAAATAGAAAGTTGAAGTTTTTTATATCCAAATTTGCACTATTATCAATTATGCTTGATGGGATATAGATGATTAAGCTTCTCTTGTTACTATGTTTCTACTTTGGACCTTTGGATTGTAGGGAGCTATAAAAGTTAGTGATGTAGACGGGATTTGATCCGAGGTCTTGGGTATCATCCCCGAGACTTTTAATTTACGTGGAAGTTGTAATTGATTGAATAATATTGCTTATTGCATGAAGTATCTTGTTGCCTTTGTGGGTTAAAAGTGATGAGAATTCTCTGTTTTGTTGGCTGTTTTTCCTTGTTACAGATTGTGTATCAGATTTGTGGTCCAGAAGAATGTCACTATAAAAAGTGTGAAAACTCAATTGTAGTAGTATAGTAAAAAGAAGGAACATTTTTTTTCTGGAAAGCTTTGATATAGTACTAAGTTGGAAATCTGTTTTGTGTTCAATGAAGTAGTTATCAAGATTCAGCTATGTTTTATCTGCTATTTGCTAGCTTAAGTTGAGTAGGAAATGGTCAAGTGTTGGTGAAATTTCTGATTATAGTTTAACTGGTTTAGTCATGAATACTTTTTGGTTAATTGTAAGTTATCATAACCTTGTTCATGTAGTAAAATTGTTGTGACGGTTGTTGATCTTAGGATTTGGAAGTAGGAGATGGGGTCATTACACGGACCAGTCGTTTGCCCTACAATTCGTGCTAAGCAGGTCGGTGTTTACCAAACACCAATTAGTGTCTCTTTGATGAAGGATGCCATGTTCAGAAGTGCATTTTGGGGCTATAAAAGTGTACGCCAACAATCTACTAATGCGAGCATGCTTACTCGCCCAATTAATATCCGGAGGTTTGGTACAGTTCATTGCACTTTTAGTTCGTCTTCCAATGGAAGTGGTAACAGAGCAGAAAAGGAAAATGATGAGGATTATGTCAACTCCAGTGTAATTGAAGCTGGTAGGATGTACTTTCATTACCATTTCATGAGATTGAATGTTGGCATTGCAATGGTTTTATATTAACTTCATTAGTTCATCTTATAATTTGGTGTTCTTGCTTGCTAATTTGTGTTTGGTTTTCCTAGGTTTATAGATACTACAATGTATCTTGCCTTTTCAACTTTGAAAAGTGCCAAAGGATAGTATGAGACTATCACTGTGCTGAATGTCTTTTAATGTGCAGCCATAGCTCTATGCACGAGCTTGTTTTCTTATGACTGAGTATTAACCAGTAGTCTCTTACTTTCTGTCTCTTTTGTAACCATTATCAATTCATTGGACCGTTGGAATATTGTGGGAGAAGGGTTATAAACATAATTTCTTAGGATATTAGTAAACTATGTAAATGGAGAGCTAACTTGCATTCTTTTGTCATATCTAATTTTTCACCTTTGTTGTATTCCAGATGCACTTGAAGCTGTAAATACAGTAGATAAAAAAGTCAATTCTGCATGCCTGCCTTATTGATGCTTTGGTGAATAATGTGCTGCCTGTTTCTAGTTTGAGATCTCTTCACGTATTATTTTGAGCATACTATTAATCAGTATTTTTGTATTGCTTTATTGTAGTTGAGGTGAAAAGTGGTTCAGATGGTTTCACAATTAAGATGAGAGATGGCAGGTTCTTAAAATGTGTCCATAACAGCCCTCAAGGTGGCCACCTTCCAGATTATGCACCACATCCGGCCATTGTGCTTAAAATGGAAGATGGAACGGATCTTCTTCTACCAATAATTGTTTGTATGTACATAGACCTCTTTGCTAACAGATCTCTGCATTCTTTGAATTCTGTTAAATCAATTTGATAACTGTCCAAATTATGTGTTCTTGCAGTGGAGATGCCTAGTGTGTTGCTCATGGCTGCTATCCGTAACGTACATATTGTATGTGTCTATTCTTCAATGCAACTCAGTTTTGTTGTGAAGTTAATCAGCTACACTAGGTATGGTTATTTAAGTTTAATCACAAATTCTCTGATGAAAATGTGCAGGCTAGGCCAACAATGTATCAAATTATGAAGGAAATGATTGAGAAGATGGGATATGTAGTAAGTGGGTTAAATGAATATCCCCTCCCCGTTTAGAGTTATTTGGTGGAAAGTGAAATTCTATCTTTAAAACCCCACAAAGCATTTTGCTTAGATACATTTTTGCAGGTCAAACTTGTTCGTGTAACTAAGAGAGTCCATGAAGCATATTTTGCTCAGTTATATCTCACAAAGGCATGTATATGACTATGTATATGATTATGTTTACATTTATAGTGTGTTTACCTTTTCTTGTGAATAACAATAAATTAATTGTGGAAAGTCATTGCTAATTTGCTATAGGTTGATAACGAAGATGAATGTATCAGTTTTGACCTTCGACCTTCAGATGCAATTAATATTGCTGTAAGATGCAAGGTATACATTTTCTTCCAATTTAGTCACTCTTCTGGGGCCTTTGGGATGCTATCTTTTTGTTTAGCCATGGATAAAAAAGTAACATTACCCTTTTGTACTGACTATTGAGCACTATTTGGAAGATTCTGATTTTGGAATCTTGCCAACTACTGTATTCTTTTGTTACCTTTTGCTTAGGTTTAGTGCTAGTTGCCTGATATCCTTGGTATATCAGTTCAGAACTTCAGATTTCGAATCTACATGATTTTAGCTTACTGATGTCAGTATTATGCCTATCTTTTATGCTATGATATATTGTATTGTTATCTCAACTTGTCTTCACATTATTGGACCTTCTGTAAAATAGTTTCAGTTAAGCAACACACGCACAATATTATTTGCATTGTTTCTGGCAAAAAAACAGTCTGATGCACCTATGATCTGATACCCTGGTTTTTTATTTGGTTTCCTCGTATGCTACTATAATGGATTTACTCAAAGTTGATGTTGATGTATATGCTTCCCCAACGGTCCAACTGTTGGTTTGAACGTTTAATAAAAAGAGCCAAGTAATATGGAGTATTATTCTTTAGTATTGAGCTCTTACTATATATCAACACTAGGAAGTTGACCTACTGCTCCTTACACATCATCTACTACAACATGCTTTCAGTTGAGAAGGAAGAAATTTATATTAAAAGAAGTCAGTCAACTAATGTAAAGTTATTGACTTTTCACTACAATGATCTCTTCAAACAAGAATATGTAGTGTTATGTACAAGTAAATCCGATGAACTGATAATATCACATAGTGTGTCAAGCCTTTATAAGCTAAATAGCTTTTAAGCTTTACTCTGAAGCTTATCTGTATCTACACAGGTGCCTATACAAGTAAACAGGAACCTGGCTCAAAGTGATGGTATGAAGATAGTTGAATCTCCAAAGACGATAAATGTGGGCCTTGCATCAGATGTCATGTCATTCACGGAATTGGATCGGTAGGTTATTTTCTGTATTATTCTGGCTCAAGGTTCCGGGCCCTTCTCTTTGGCTATGGACTGGAGTTCATTGAGCTTAGGAACTGGATATATTATGGAAACAAACACTGTATTGTCCTGTAATGAACTAGATAATCTGCTAACTTGACTCACACAAATAACAGGAAAATAGAAAGGAAAAGATTGATTCTTTGAGTGAACTATACAATCTGATTTTTCGTAAATTGATTATATTTGAAGAATTAATAAAGATGGAAGCATTTATTGATTGATATTGGTGGAATGGTTACAAAATGATAGGGTTAATAGCTTTAAGCTATCACTCTCAAAATAGCTTGAGGCTATCACTCTCTAACAATGGCTTTAGGCCATAACTCTCTCAAGGATTCAAACCAAATTTCTGCCTACCTTCTCCTTTATCCCCTCTCTCTATTTATTTACAATTTCTAAGATGATTCTAGATGGTTTGTCTTCTTTTATGCCCATGTGGCATGTCTTGATTCCTTGCATAATTTCCCTTGTGACTACTAACATACTAAATCACCCATAATACCCTCCCCTAAGTCAGTTAATTACATGTCCCAGTTTCATTGCATGCGCAAATTTTACTTTTGTTCATCTGCTCTTGAAGCTGTTGCAATGAGCTTAACAGCTTAGACATTAGCCATCAAAGTAATAACACCTGATTGGCTCTTAGACCCTACTTCTCTTTCACCTTATTTTACCGAGCTTAAATTATTTCTACTGAATTTTGCTGTTTAAATCTGTTTATTTATTTTTAAAATCGTTTTCTTTGTATGAAATTAATGATTCTTGCTGAAATGTACCCGAACTGATTTAACTGAAAAAACTTGTATTGATTAAAATTGATACACTACCATCACCTTATGTCTACTGTTTTTTTTTTTTTAAAAAAAACTTTTATTTATTTATTTATTAATGAGTGAAAAGAACAAAGCCTTATTTGGGGGGAACCATGTTCCTTAAACTAATAAAAAAGAGCCAAATTCCCTTTAAATTAGTCATATTATTATGTTTTTGAGGTGGATTGGAGGACATAATATCATCGTACCTCATACCTACTTAAGATGAGATGAAAGAGTAAACTTGTGTTTGTGAAATGTACTTCTTCTACTGTTTAGTGTTTATTTTTTAATTTATTTTGGGCAAGATATCAAAAAAAAGTGCCAATAAATGAAATTGAAAGAATAGAGAATATCAGGTTCTACAAGCAAGTTTATAAGATTGCACAATTTTTTTATCAAAAATCTATTTTATGCTTTGAGGTTCACTTAAGCAAGCACATGTTTGTTCTGCAAAATCTGCTCTACCACGAGGAAGTGGCATTAGTTGAAGAGCACTACTAAATATCTTGGTTTTCTTGGTGTATACTTCGTAATTTATATTGATGTAATGGTGTGTTAATCAGTGTGGGATATGGTTTTTTATACTTCTATTTATTCTGTGGAGCACAAACTGTGTATTAATTTTTCTGGGCCCTGATCCAGGCCTAATGGTCAGCCATGTATAGAGACAACAGAATTTAACCTGTTGCGCAACATGCTTAATGCTGCTTGTGAGGAGCGTTATCAAGAAGCAGGTATGATGATTACCTTTTTTCCCATCTATTTGTGTATCAGAGTTCCACTGCTAGTACATTTGTTTGTAATTATCTCCACATGTTCAACTGCACGTAAATTTAGGTGGAAGCTAAGTAGCTAACCCTGTGTTTTGTAACATAAGAATGTACAGGCAGCTTTTTAACAAAATTTACAACCTTATAACACGCTAAATGTGTTTACATGTCATATGTGTTTATTGTTGATACCTTGGTGAGTTGGTGCTACAAGATCTCAGAACTCTAATTTTTACATGCCTAAGTTCTTAAATTGACTTTGCTTTCACCAACTTTCATGAGCTAACGCTTAAGTTGACTCCTAAGTACTTGTAAAGTGATTTATTATGTTGTGGGTTGACATACAGCATGTCTCAGTCTCATCTGAGAGATTGAGACTATCTGTTATACTTGTGGAAATTTAGCATAGGCTTCTGTTTGTTATTAATAAGCTTACCCTTCTTGATACAATTCATCTTCGAAGACCTGAAATTATTATTTTTGGTTCTCTCATGGTTATTGTGCTGTTCTGGCAGCTCAATGGAGGGACAAACTCACCCAACTTCGGGCTAAGAGAAACTGGGCATGACAGGTAAATGAATACCTCTTTTACAACAGTTTATCGGTACTATTTTTCTAAGTCAATTCCTTTGGTAGAAATGTAAAACCGCAACTTCTTTTGCGTCAATTCCATCAATAACTTGTTTGGTGCTAATTCATGCAGAGTTGCAGAAAGCAAACATTGTACATTGTATATAATTATATGAAGCTGAAGATTATGCTGGTTCCTCAAACAGATCGAAATGCCCTTTTTAGTGTTCTCTGTGTTAATAAATGCTGTAATCATATTTGTGCATAGTAGCTAAAGATGAACAACCTTTACTCCCATGATAATGGAACTTACTGTGACTCTTAGTATGCTTCAGGCTACAAGGTTGTATTGGTAACATCCTTCACCTTTAGGCTGTAATTCAAACACGAACAACATGAAGCAATGTATGTGCAATGTTGAATGTTGCATCGGCTATGGAAATGAGTCCATATGACACTCAGGTGGTAAACTGGAAATATATGCTTTCAGGCTGTCTAGAACTTAAAATGATGTAAAATTGGATCTCTTATATATTTCTATTTGTTTAAATTGCTGTCATACACTTGTAGTATTGCTTGGGAGTTGGTACTACTTGGAAGCTTCTAATTTTAGTTATGTTTAATAATAGTAAGCCCATAATCTTAAGAAAGGAACTTTGAAAAACTTGTTGCTGATCTTTTAGGTGGGAGGATTTTGTCCAAGATAAGAGAGTTATTTTACGTATCCTTCTCTTCTAGAGTTACTTGAACAAGCATCACGTATCCTTCTCTTCTAGAGTTACTTGTACAAGCATCCGTGATGTTGTATATTTTATGTAAGGCGTGTTACCGGATTGGAACCTTGTATACGTCAACTACTGATTTAATGTGCAAGGCCTCTTAGGAGGGTCGGGGGTAAGAGAATCCGTACTCCAAATGTGTCTAGTGAAGATTAATTTTGAGGTTGTAAGATATAATCCTTATCAGTTACCACTAGACCAAGTGTTATTTTGTAGGGTCTACAATAATGCAGTTTTATGAATGGTCACACTGTCGGCGGAGTTCGTTGATTGACCAAGTTCTTGCCAATGCATGACAGGAGGAAGTTGAGTAGGACATCATAAAAAGAACAAGATAAATCCGTACATTTAGATAGCTAAATCTTCGAATCTTTCTATAGTATCCACACATTGTTCTTTCTTATATTTTGATGGACCCTTTCTTCAATAATAGAAGAAAAGTCATTGTCCCTTTTGTTTTTTTGACAAATAATTTGAGTATAAATGATAATTAAATGTCTAATTAACAAGAAATGATATTAATTAGTTTCTTTTTAAAAGTTAATGGTGCCAAATCAATTCAATAATCTCCTTTGAAGTCATGTTGATGAAAATATCAAAAATAGTAGGTGTTGGATTTGTAGTGGCAAAATGGATTAATGGTCATTTTGTAACCAATTGTCATTAAATACACGTATTGTACTTTAAGTCACTAATATGGGCCCCATGTGTTCCTTTAATTCTGTATATAAAAATATAGAAAATACATTTTTGCTATATTTTGTTGCTTCAAGTTTTCTAACAAAGTTTGTCAATGAGGAACAGAAAATTATGCGAAATTGTTGAAAGATTACACGACACTTTGACGATTAGGTGACATTAGAGATTTTTTTTTGACATTAGAGATTTTAAGAGGATTAAAATACACAAAAAGGATAATTTTTTTTGTGCAAAAAATCACAAAAAGAGAGTTAATATATTTAGTGAATTGCGGCTATTTATCTCAAATTATGCTTTTATCATGACATAAAAATAAGTTGACATAAAGATTAATAAATTATACGGAGTACAAGTTATGTTATCTAATGACAAATTTTATTTAGATTGCATTGTTTAAAAGTAAGGAGTACAACAATACAATGAATGAATAAATAAAAATTTATAATTTAATTGTATGATATAATAGTGCTATTGAAAATTAGTTTCATCATGCTGAAATAGAAAGGGTAGAAGTTGGAAGAAGCGGTTAAAAAAAAGGAGAAAAGTAGTTGAATTAGATATGATAATGCTGACCTAATCTACAATTATCTACTGCCCATTGGTATCTCTTACCTAAATCACACCCAAATTGGTTCATCCCAACCTGAAATTATCTACAAAGTATATAATTGAAATCAATGGGGTTAATCTGATACAATTAACATACTCTATACGTTTGATTTGTACTTTTGTTGAACTATTTTGAACTTGACAATATCGTCATTTTATCCATCTTTCAATTCCCATCCCTTAATACCACCCCCTATTCAGTGGCGGACCCAGGAATTTCCGACTGGTGAGTCACAATCGATAATCAAATATGTAAAATTTTTTTTTTACCAAACAACCAAATAATAGTACTACAACCCACATATTTAAACAAAATATAACATCATCCCACCATAAAATTGTAACACACTTACAATCTTAAAAATACCCTTTAGAAATTTTAACCAGTTTGTCAACATAACATGAAATTGCAGCAAAAAAAATCATCTTTTCCGAGCTACTCATATATTGAAGTGAGAACTAATCAAAATTTAGAATTCCAAATACAAGTAAAATCATTTGAACATAATAGTATATGAAACAAGGAGATGAAAAGAGAGAAAATTCAACTGACCTCAGACACCACAACAATTCATCAATCAAATCAACATCCTTAATTATATTTCATTATTAGAAAAAACACAAGACTTTAAACTTTGCAAGCAAAACCTTTATCAAATTACAAGTTATAAGATACAAATTACTGCAATAATTAACATAATCAAGCATAATTATTCCGACATTCATATATAGTCTTATAAAAACTACCCAGATGCATAATTCACATAATTTGATCACCAAATATTCAAATTACACCAAGAAAAGCCAAAAATGCTTCGAAGATTCATACTTAAAAACAAACCCAGATAAATATTTCACAAAATTTGATCATCAAACATCCAAATAACGCGGAACAAAACCAAAATTTTCAGGGGGCAAAAAAAAAATCCCAAATCAAGAAATTGTAACAAACCAAGAGGGTGCTCGAATTTGAATGAACTTTTAGCCATCTCAGCACTCAAAAAGGTAGAATTGATACCTGCTGAGTCAGAGTCTGGAGGCGTGAGCGAACTAGCGAAGAGGAAGCGTTAACTGAAAATCAACCTAAGTTTAAACCAAGTTTAATAAAATTAACTAATTAGACTGAATTGAATTGAAGATTAGAGTTTTAAACTAAAATAGAAATCAACTTACTAGCAAAATGAGAATAGCAGATTAGAAGAAGCGTCGAAGACTCGAAGCGAACTAGCGAAGAGCACTAGCAGTGAGCACTGTCGGTCTGTCGCACACGGCACACTCGCACTGAGCAGCACTGCAGCAGAGCAGGCGACTAGGCTAGCAGCAGCACGCCAGCACTGGAGGGTGGAGGTAGTCTGGTGATTTGGTGAAGAGGCGAAGAGGAAGATGCGAAGAGGAAGAGGCGAAGTGGGCTAGGGCTTGACTGCTTGAGGAATTCGCCAAATCGGGCTCACCTCAGTACCTGAAGTTAGAATTTTTTTTGGGCCCTGGTGAGTCATTTGACCCACCAAGCACAAGGGCCAGTCCGCCACTGCCCCTATTAGGTACTTTATTATTTTCATGGAAATTCAAGCCTTTTATTCTCAATCCCATTCCCTCCTTACAATCCCATTCCCATCAAACAAACACATAGTTTTATGATATATGGCATTAAATTCCCATTCCCATCTTCTATTCCCACTAACCAATTCAACTAGTCTCAATTGACCTATAAGTCTATAAGTAATTAGAGTTTATAAGCTTGCTTTACATGTTTAGCCTTGAAATTTTATTTAAGTTAAACAAAATGAATTAATCGAACCTATTAGATTATTATATTTAAAACTTCAGTTATAAATTGAAAATAACCTTTATTAAATTTATTTTTTCCAAACTTATCTATAATCTCCGTTTTATAAATTTATAACAATACACATTTTTACTCTCTATTTTATATCAAATCGTGATAATGAAGCAGATACAATAAACGGAAAAAGTTAACCAAGACCCAAAAATGTAGCCAATAATAAATAGACATCCACCAGACCAGCACACCTGTATTATTGTTACACTCCAAAGATCCATGTCTAGAAATACCATAAATAAACGAAGGAAAGAGAAAAGAGGCGGGAATAAAAACGGCAAAGCAATCGGAAAAGCAAACGTGTCATTGAAAGCAATCACAAAAGGGGACCCACTTTGGGTGCGTGTCACCCTCAATATATCAAATACCAGTATACCACCATCACCATTACCAAACTAATAAACCGCGAAACTCTCTGCCACAAATTCATACCTCTTTTAAACCCTAACCTTTTTTCTTTTTTGTTTTCTATCTTTTCAATTTTTCTTAACTAATTTTATTTTATTAGTTTTTTGATTTTTTCAAAATTTTGAAATTTTCGGCCGAAAAGAAAAATTGAAATTGGGGATTCTTTGAATTTTCTACAATCTACTTTAACTCCACTTTCTTTTTGCATTTCTTTCTCTCTCTCCTCTAATTCCAGGTATTTATCTTTTTTTTTTTTAAAATTATAATCATTATTTCATTTCCATATTTTCTGAAATTGAATGCTATTGTTTATTTAATTTTTATTTTTATTTTCATTTTTTTTTTGGTTGAAAGATTGTCAATGGAGAAATCGAAAATTTGTTGAAGTTTAAAGAATGGAGTTAGGGAGGAATTCCAGCTTGTCTGGCCCACTTGACTTTGCTCGTCCTTGTAAGTTTCAATTATTCCTTTTTATTTTTTTTTCTCAATGCCCAATTTTGGATTTTTTTGCACTTTTTAGTAATTATTATCATGCATATTTCAAATTCTAAATTATGTGTTTTTTGATTAATTGCCTTTTTTTTTTATATTTAATTTTGCAATGATTATGTAATGTGTAATTTCAATGATGTGTTGTATGACTGTATGAGAAGATGTCTGGATGTATGATTAGCTAATTAAGTGGGTACAAGTCTTTATGAGGAGGTAGAATTGGAGACTTGAGATCAAATTTCGTCTACATCATTTTTTTCGGGTGGTCTGAAATTAGGGATGTTAGGAAAAAGGTTGTCATCTATACTTTACAAGTTTACAGTATTGAGATACATTTTCATGTGTCTTGTCAAAAATTTACAGTATGTACCGACCGGAGTAGCATTGTAGGTAGATTATGTGTTCTGTTAAGAATCACTGTCACTGTGTTAGTGAATTTTTGTAGTATGAAAGACTGTTAATTTCTCTGTTGATGGTCTTTCCATTAATGATCATAGATCACTTGTATCAAGCTCGGGTTTGGGGGTGTAATCTTGTTTTATACGAGGATTAACATATTTAGTATACTGTAGGAGAGCACGAGCGAATAAGGGTACTTGATAGATATACATTTGCAAAGATGTAGAATCGAGAGCTTACATTGATGCTTAAGTAATACGAAGTAACTAATAAGTATAGTGTTGTATCTATGAACTTTTGTTTTCTATAAGTATTAGCATAAGTAGTACTTCGTATGCAGTAGAGGGGACCGAGTTACTGAAGACTGAAGTCGCTTGAAAGGTTTTCACATGGCTGTGATATATAGAATTAAAAGCTTACGTTGACACTCAAGGATAGACTTGTAGCTATTAGCTTGTTCTCGATCATGTTTTTGGAACTCAATATTTTTGCCGTTTCCTAATTTATATCCAACCTGTCCTTAGAGAAGAGCATTTTATCTTAAAACCAAAGTGATATTATAGCTTGATTTTTTTTTTTTTTTTTTATTTAAAGATATGAAACAATGTAACAGAGGTTTACTAAGTGTTATATAATGTTTGCAGGTTTTGAAGGCTCAACAAGTCGTGAAAGAAAAGAGCGGAAATCAGATGTTGAGATATCAGAAGATGAGAAGAAGAAGAAGATGGGAGGTTTTAAAAAGAGAGCAATTAACGCATCCAGTAAAATAAGGCGTTCACTCAGCAAGAAAAAAGGCAAGCGGAAGGTTGAAGGACTTCCTTCTGTTTCTATAAAGGATGTACGAGATGTTAAGGAAGTGCAGGCTGTGCAAGCATTTCGACAAGCACTGGCTTTGGATGAGTTACTACCTGCAAGACATGATAATTATTACACCTTGCTGAGGTAATCTGTTCTTTTAGTTGGTGAACGATAGGCTATACCACTGTCTTCTATTATGGCTTTTCTGTTCCCTATAAAAGTTCTGTGCTGTGTTATAATGACTGCAGTTAAGTTTCTTCTGTATTGTTGTATTGTGAATGAGTTGCTTAGACAAATTGCTTATTGTTGGCTAACTGTTGATGATTGCCTGAAACCTTTGGATATTTTGTTTAGCAGCTATAATTAGGTATCTATTTAATTAAATGGAATGTTTATATATCTTCTGAATGATATATTTGTTTCTTGAAAATTCATCCTTGCAGGTTTTTGAAGGCAAGAAAGTTTGACATTGAGAAGGCAAAGCAAATGTGGGTTGATATGCTCAAGTGGAGAAAAGAATTTGGTGCCGACACTATCCTTGAGGTCAGAATTTAAATTATTGACATTGATCTGAGTAGTTGCACAGCGACCCAGCCTTCTGCAGTTCTGCTTCCTCAATAGTTTGGCAGAATGGATTACTCTTCTGTTATTTGGTCAATCCTTTAAAAAAAATGACTTCTTGTTTGCTCTCTGTCAGGATTTTGAGTACCATGAGTTGGACGAGGTCTTAAAGTATTATCCCCAGGGATTTCATGGTGTTGACAAAGATGGGCGGCCTGTCTATCTTTACCTACTGGGAAAGGTTGATACAGAGAAGCTTATGCAAGTAACTACAATGGAACGATACCTCAAATATCATGCTCAAGATTTTGAAAGGTGCTTTGCACTGAAATATCCAGCTTGCTCCATTGCTGCTAAAAGGCATATAGATTCAAATACAACTATTCTTGATGTTCAAGGCGTGGTATGTTGCCTATTTCACTTGTTATCTGTTCAATTATCAGTGGGCATAATGCACAGGTCTTTTGTCTTGAGAAGTGCATAAAAAGAGTTCCAATTATTTTTTTAAACTTATCATCAGGGCTATAAAAACCTAACAAAACCTGCTCGTGAACTGATAATGCGGCTACAAAAAATTGATAACGACAACTATCCTGAGGTATGTTGAGTAGCTACAAACTGTTTTGTTGAATTCAATGATAATGATTTTAATGTATCTGATTACCGCCTACCTGTGTTGTTTCTTATGTTTGTTGCGGATATTTCTGCAGACTCTTTACCGAATGTATATCATTAATGCTGGCAATGGCTTTAAATTGGTCTGGAATGTAATCAAGCCTTTTCTTGATCCTCATACGACATCCAAAATTCATGTAAATATTAGAGTGCTTAAATATGCTTATCAACCAATATCTATTAGTTAATCACCTTTAAGTTATATGAAAAATTTGATTTTCATATCCTTGTCAGGTCCTTGGCCCCAAATATCAGAGCAAACTGTTTGAGATCATTGACAAAAGGTAATCTCACTGGATACCCATGTTGGTTGTCATTTTGTATGATCAACCTTCTACTGAATATTACCTATTTAGGTTTACTTATTGTTTAAATTGATTGCCTCATACAGCCAATTGCCTGAATTTCTTGGCGGTACATGCAATTGTGCAGATCAAGGAGGTTGTGTAAGGTCTGACAAGGGACCATGGAAAGATCCTGAAATCTTAAAGGTTGTTTAAATTGAGCATTCACGTTCAAATTCTATGACTGTATTTTCAAATTTCCAAAGTTTTAAGTTTTTGACTTGTTGAATTCTGATTGATTAACTGCAGTTGATTCAATCTGGCGAAGCCGAAGTAGCTATATCAAACAGTGAAGGCAGGGTTATTGCTTACAACAAGATGGTATGTTAAATTTCTCGAATAAAATTATGTGGATACATAAAAATTTGTTACTGTTTTGTTTGCATATTATTTGTTTGTCCTGATGTTACTTATGTATTTATGTATTTTTGCTTGACCACCAGATTAAAAATCATGACACATCAACAGCAGAGTCTGGATCCGAAGTTGAAGAAATTTCTTCTTCTAGAGCACCTAGGGCTTCTTTGGAGTTAAAATTGATGCCAGTGGATGAAGAAGTAAGCCCTCATGTACCCAACATCTGATAGACTTGACTTCCATTAAATTAAGTTAATATTTTGCACTAGTGTTTTTATTGGAAATTTATATACTTACGCACTTTCAACCTGGGTTTCTTAAAACTCGACCTTATCTCCTCCCATTACTATTTCCTCGTCAGTTTTGGCTAGGTAGAGGCTGTAGGCTGATTCTTGATACTGCACAAGATATATCTCTAAACATTAAGAGCTTCCTATTCATAAAGAATGATATTTAAATTTTAAAGCTGCATAGCTAGTCATAAGAAAATTCTGATTGTCTTGGACATGCAATTGGTAGTATACTTTCAAAATTTTGGCCTAAACAGAATAATTTAGCCCTTGTTATTCCTTTTTTTTTGGAGAGAGGGGGGGGGGGGGGTTGAGATTTTTCACTTGATAAAGTTCCATGTAATTTGAAGATAAGAGGGCAAAGGAGGAGATCCTGACAGGAAATGATATTTTGCAGGCTCGGATAGCTAAAAATATTGGGGAGATTTTGGAGGGGGGAAGGGGGGATTTTCACTTGATAAAGTTTTATGTATTTTGAAGATAGAGGACAAAGGTGGAGATCCTGACAGGAAATGATATTTTGCAGGCTCGGATAGCCAGAAATAGTGGCTCTTCTGGTGGCATTCCTGATAATGATGAAAATGTTCCTGTAATTGTGAAGCACTTGGATTCAGAATCTGTAGGAGTTGTCTCCATTGATCAGTCAAATCCATCCACAGGTTAGCATACCTTTCCTAAAGTGTAAGAGTGTACTATTTCATCCAAAATGATATATTTATGGAATATGGTCGCATGTTTGTTATTGCGTACTAATAGCTGGGCTGCATTCTTTTCTCTAATTCTTTTTATGTTGTGCTTCCTTTTTTGCTTCTGGAAGAACTAGTTGAACTTGGACTAGATTTTATTGTTTGCTTGTGAGAAAATTGTCTAATTTGATTTTTCAGCATGTCTAGTGTAATTTATTGCAGAGACAATATCTCAACAATCTGCAGATGTAGAGCAAAGTCATTTCCGAATTTTCGCTGCAGTCGTGGCCTTCTTTGTGACCTTATTTGCTTTCTTCCGGTCAGCAACGATGAAAATTTCTCGAGAAGTTCCCATGGTTATTTTGAATTTTGCCCGCAACCTTCATGATATCCTTGGACCAGATTTTAAAGAAAATTTGCAACAACCGTCAGTGAGTCCAGACATGACAGAGACAGAATTTCGCTTAGTTACACTCAGAAAGCTCAGTGATCTTGAAGAGAATGTAAAAACATTACAGACAAATCCAACGCAAATGCCTTCTGAGAAAGAGGAGTTGCTAAATGCTGCAATATATCGTGTGGATGCTCTGGAAGCAGAGTTGATTGCAACCAAAAAGGTAAATTTGTTACAATTATTAGTTTGTAATGAACTGTTTTCTGATGTTAAATTAATAGAAAAAACTCGAAGGACAGCTCTTCTTGTGTCCTGCTACAGGAAAATGAAATAAGTCTGAAGTGTTTGTGGGTCATTTATATCGTTGTTTGATGAACAGGCATTACATGAAGCTTTGATGAGGCAGGAAGATTTGCTCGCATTCTTTGACGCACAAGAATCTGCCAGATTTCGGGTATATAGTCATGAAAAACCTTGTTCCTTAAGTTATTGATGTGAATGCAGACTTTCCCTAGATGTTTGTTGTTTAAGTTTATCATTGCTTACATGTATTATTCAATCTGCAGAGGAGAAGGTTCTGCTGGTGAAGAATGGGTTGCTGCTTACAGGGATAAACTTGCCGTATTCTTTGGGTCTCTTTCTCGGCATTGTGTATTGGGGTAGAGTTTTTAATTAACAGAGGATCCTCCTGTATTTTCTGTACAGTATAGGGTTTCATATTTTTCTCCTGAGGTTAAGATTTATTAAAAGAAATGAGAAAAAAGTTAGTACTTGTATGCGTTTTCTTTGTCTACTGTTGACATTTCTTTCGATTGCCTGTCTGATCAAGTGATTCATAGGTGCAAACAATGTCTACTGACGTTTCTTACAACATCTCTAATTTCCCATTTCAATAAACAAAACTAAGCGAGGCCAATCCTCGTTGTGCCTTAAAAGTTGGATTATTCACCATCACCACAACAAAATGCTAACCAAGACCTTGGATTTAAAACCATTACTAAGTAGATTCCTGAATCCTGAGTGATGGTGGAAGAAAAAAATTGATAGTAGGTTGAAATTTTTATAGAACCTGTTTATGGTAATGTTCCTTGTGCTTGCTTCGCAGAAGCTTAGAATTAGTAATATATATGCACATTCTCTTTTGATAACATTTGACAATTATAATCAGATTTTTCCTGTTACAGGGTAAAAAAATTAACACTGAGTAGCAACTAAAACTATGTGGCAATAGAAAACAAGCGCTCATACACATCATTTTAGTTTCGTTCCTTTTCTTCTCATCTTTTTAGTGTTCCTTTGAAGCGCCAACACGACGGGCGCTCTGGAATTTCCTCAGCTTATACTATATATACAGGATCAGCTTCTCCGGTGAATGTTACTGTATCTGTTGATGGGTTCAGGACTATAGAAGTTATCCCTTTTAAAGGTGGATTATTTTCATCCCTTTCAGCCTGCACTTTGAGCAGTGATGATCCACTGATACTATAGTTTTCTGCATCAAACCAAAACAAGTCAGATTAGCTAATACTATACCAAACTAGTGCACAAGCATAATTACGCCTAAAAAATAATCCAAGTATTATGTAAAATTATTTTTAATCTGTTAACATCAGAGTAAAAACGACAGCATCAATCTGCAGAAAAAAACTGTAAAATAAATTTAGCTTCTATAGAAATGAAGAAAATAGGTCGTAGGGAGGGAACGCGAGCGGTACTAAGATTGTAAATACAAAGCCAGAATTAACATACATATTCTGCTGCAAACTATATCAGGTTAAATTGAAGCATATACTGCAAAAATATAAAATGAAAAAGATCAAACCTTGGACATAATTCTGTAAGAATTAGATACACAAATGGAGAATAAACTTCCTTGTCAATGAAGTTTGCAAGGAACAAAATTTAGAGAACCCATTTATATATTCATGTTCACTACTCTTTTCTGATTTTTTCAAACTCAGACGCAAGCAAGAATAAGTTTGTGGAATTCTATCTACAGAATATATCTTGACAGTTAAGGGAACAATTATCCTGTATAAATTATGGTCATGACGATGCTAGATGCTATATGTCACTTATATGCATTTAAACACCAAATATGGAACCTGATGAGGCTATCCGTGGCATAGTGTTCCATCCCAGTGATGTCCAAGAGTTCATCATGAGCCGAGCAAAGCTACAATCGGTTGTGAAATTTAACGTCCAAACTGCAAAGATGAAATTAGACATTACTCCAACAGAAGAATCACCATAGCAGCTAGTAACAGACACCCACTCACTCGCATTATGAGTTGATTTTAGTTCTCTAATCAAACTATGAGCTATAATTCATCAATAAGTAAGTTCCTCCGACCCTCATGGCAACAGATCATTCAATTTACAAGGGGAAACTCTCTTAATTCCATTTTACCCTACAGTTCAAGCACTGTGAATGAATTGGGAGGCACTGTCCTAGCACTACATATCAAGAATAACCTCAGTGTAGGCGTGTAGCAATATCAAGAAAACATATACAATAAGGTTAACAGAGAAAGCATAAGAAACAAAAACAATGAAATAATCACAAACTTATAACTCCTGTTGCATGAATCATAAAACATTTGACAGCTACATTCCTTGATCTGGATCGCTTAATTAACATCGACAAATGATCGCTAAAATCGCAAACTCAGGAAAGGCAGAAATTCATAGTTGAGGTAATAAAAAAAAGTTCATCTATCTACCCACAATAAGACATTAAGAATTACATATTGACACATTGTACATACCAAAATGTTACATATTACAGATGAAAATTATACACGAGGACACTAAGAGCATCAAATATTGGAATCTAAACTACGGACAGTTGGACACGAGCAGTCGAGCATGCCTAAGATAACAATGTATTCTTAAAGAGTTAACTAGGTTACAGCAGCTTTAAGGACAATTTGTCAGGTTATGTCGATTTTAATGGAACTGTGCAATCCTCAACAATCTATACCAAGCAAAACCTTTTAAGAAGTTTTTTCAATCTCAATATCCAGTTTCATACCCCTCAATGGTTCCCCCATTTGCAGCACCACGCTCTACTTTGACCATCTTCTTGTAACTCTTGACTATCTTCTGATCCAGCTCATAGTAGTATTCCATATTATTCAAGGGTTTCATATCAAGGTCGATAAAAAATGCCTGCAAGAGTGCACGGAACATAAGACCATCAAAAAGTACAAGAATGAAAAGAAGTATCATGAGAAACCAGCATAAATAAGCATATGTAAGCCCAACACATTCTTGATACCATTAAATTAGCAAGAGGCATCCGATTTACCAATTACAAAGTATATGTCAAGCGCACTATAGAAGGATCATAGAACATCAAAAATTTACAAAATTTATCAATATTATCATCTGTGTTCAACACCTTCATTTAAACCCAGCTAATTGCTGAAACTGTCTCTGTTGAATACAGGTATACAGTCATATGGTCTTTTTCTGTGATAATAACATAATACAACTGAAGCAAACTTTAAAATAGACCAGGATATATCTTTACCTTGACATCAAGCCTTTGCTTTGTTGCATCCAGGTATATTGTTCTATAGTGTGATTCTTGATCATCATCTTCCCTTGGACGGAAACTAATCATTAAACTACAGTCCTTGGCTGTTGCAGCTATCAAGTAGTCCCTTACAATCTTCAGACTTTCATCTACAGGGATTGAATGCAGAGAGCTATACTTTCCTAATTGCCTGTCTTCACCGGAATCTTTACATATCTTGCAAGGCTGGGAAACAATATCATAATAAGCATGAATTGCCCCTTCCACATCAAATTTGTCAAGCTTTTGGACTTCAAGTAGCCTGTCTAATACACCTGATTTAAGTATTGCCTCTCCTACAAGATTCACAAAATTCCTTTTATGCAAACCATTTTCTCCATGCAAGAAAGATTTAAGATTATCTTTAAATGCTTCAACCTTAACAGAATCTGTCCCTTGGTCACCACCCCCCATGCCCCCATATATTAGGGAGCTATTTAGAAAAACCCGCAGATTATTCTGTGGATTTGCAAAGAGAGCCTTAAATGCTTTATGTATTCGCTCCCTTGATCCAGAGAATAAATCCAATGGGTCATATTCGCTCAATTGCTGTATCTGAAAAATAAACAGAGCCATGTCTCACTATCAGGAATACCAAATGATCAGCATCAAAGTCATCTCAGGTAAAAAGTAATGGCATTTATCTATTGGCACATTATGCAAAAATATTACTATTTGATTACATTTCCTTGAATAAAGATCATGCAAAGAGAATTAATGATGGTTACCTTTTGTTGTTGCAATTTAAGGACTTGGTGCATTTTAAAACGAGATACATTCTTCTTGATGGCATTTTCATCAGCTATAAAGCTCGAAGATGGAAGAAATCCCCACTTGGGCTGTTCATGGGAGACAATAGAGTTTTTATGAGATAATAAGATCAGATTTTTTACTAATTTGGGTCAGTTAATTGAGAATGAAATCTATTTTATCAGTCATTAAAATGAGTACTGTCATATGAAATTTAAACCACCTTAATTTCCACAGACAGGCATGGTTTTCCTTTAGATGTGCCTACAAGAAAACCAAACAGAATGATCAAAAAGGTAATTCGAAGCAAGCAATGAGTAGTCACTTTTTGTTATCAAAAAATAATACTAAATAAAAAGCTAAGGAAAAAAAAAACACAAACACAAACATAGTAAGCACAATGTCTTACAAAGACAGAAGTCAGTGAAAAAAAATCAAAGTTTTCAAACTATTCCGAATTGGAAGAAGCAATCAGAAGGATTTATAACATCTAAAACCCTAGTAAGCTATAACACACTGTATTCATGATCAATTTCAATAACTCATTCTCAAATTTATTTGACAAATTACTTGGATAAAATAATGTTATGATAAATATAAACTCATGTTTTCTAAAAGTGATGACAAAATTCATCATATCCCTTCCTCTATCAAACAAGTAGCAACATGATATAGACTAAGGCTACATATATCATTGCATTCATCAATATAACACCAGACAGGAATACAATTGTATCTAAAGTGAAACTCAGATATGAGATACTTTTCTACTACTCTACCCTTGCTACATAAGGAAACTCAAGTCGGTGAAAATATCAAAAAGAAAGGGAGAAGCGAAAAAATAAAGAAATTTATATTGTTTCCTAGTGCTACTCACCTTGGGGGAATACTGAATGATCTGACATTAGCAGCACAGAATCAGCACCGCAATCCACACTGGCAGCACTAACTCTCCAACCAGGGCGCTGGGAGAGAACATTTCTTTCAACCAATTCCAGAAATTCCCTTGATACAAGAATCTTTACCTGCAAATTTGCAAAAACCAAGATTAAGTCAGCGCTTCTATTTCTACAATTTCCTGAGTCTTAAAATGAGCAGATCACAATACTGTCCAAAGAGTAATACTAGTTGTACAAATTTGATGCACATTTCTACAAGGTTTCCACAAAACCTTAACATCAAGATATTTTTCATGGCTGACTAAGTGTTGTAGTGAAGGATGATGGTGGATTATCCTCTACAGCCGATTTGAATATTACTTAATAAAAAAAAAAAAAAAGCGAGGATAGAAAAAATGGCCTCAACTCCTCAAGTTTAAGCAGTCTTTGCATAACCATAAACCTTAGCTAAATTGAGGTATTAACTGACTATACAACAAACTTAAGCCTTTTTTTTTTTTTTTTCTCATGTAGACTTTAGAGTCTAAACACACCACCACAGAATTTCCATGCATAAGAAATCGACATAATACTCTTCATGACAACATTAGTGATGGCCTTTTAATATAGCCATTTCACCAACTTGAGTTTTTTACCCAACAAACAGGACATAGACAAACTGAAATTACACATGCACCAAATACACTAGCAATAGATAATAGTCACAAGTCAACATACCCCAGGATCAACAAACTCTGATCCTAACAGTGGGATCATCACACATTGCACATACATCTGCTCAGCGACCTCTTTGTTTGGGGATGTAACAATATCTGCTACATCTTTCCATAAGCTGCATTCATGCTCAGACAAAACCGAGCGTTCGGTCTCTTTTATTGACCCATTCCTCGGGACCTTTGGCACCCGTATTATTTTCCCACTCTGCACAAGGGGGGAAACTGATCAGCAACTGGAAGTAATTCACTTACAGTCCAACAAGAATGCACATTAGCAATAATGCTCAACAACAGCCAACAGCCATCCAATGATCTGTTTTGTTCACATTATTTCCACTTTTGGAAAAAGTAAATTCTTACAAGGGTTAAACAAATTAGTAACTTTAGATAAGACAATTTCAGGAAATATAAGTTCAAATTAGTTCAATTCAGTTAAGTTCGGGAATATAAGGACTATCAAAGTTCATTTACAACCAATAAAAGTTCTAATAAGTTCAATCATGTTCAGATAAATTCAAATATATAAAAACCCAAGTGAATTGAACACACACTAAGCCTAAATGGACACAACATTAAGATTTTTGTTCTTGTCATATCTATAAAGCATCAAATTATCAGCTACAAATCAGATATAGCCTATTGAAGTTAGGCAAGATTGATTAACTTAAAAACTACTGTAATACAATTCCAATTTGAGCAGTATATCAATTTTGAAGAGAATAAAGAACAGAATTTAACAAGACATAGAAGAAAACAGTAAAAAGTGAAATTCAGTTCAGATGAAGCTTAAAATTGGAAAGTGAATCAGATATAAAGATAAATAAGCCATTAAAATAACATGCAATACATTAAAAGTGCAGGAATCAAAAAAGTTTATAAAAAAACATACAAAGGTAGGGGATGATCCAGAGTATGCAAGAACTAAATTAATTGCTCCTTCCCCTCTGTAACACCAATCACCTGCATCTTTTTTCTCCAAAACTACCTTCATTCTGAAATTTAAATAATAATTAAAAAAAAAATCAAAATTGAATCTTTACAAATTCACAAAGACTAAATTCAAGGCTTTATACCAAATTATATAAAATTTCAGATATGGAAATCAATAATTGGTCCAAAATTCCACAAAGTAGAGTACCCTTTTAGAAAAATTATTGAATTAAACTAAAATAAAATAGAGAGAAAAAAATTTATCTAAAAAAAATATTCTTATAGTATTAAAAAATACGCAAATGAAGAAAAAGTACATGTGAACTGGAAATTAAGATTCTGTCTTAGCAAATAATAATTCAGTAGAACATGAGTTGTGATTCTCAAGAAATTCAGCATCTTTTGTAGAATATAAATGTTGGAATTAGGAATTAAGATGAAAGTGCAAAGAAAAAACAAATAAATAATTATCATCTGAATCTACATTTCAATAAAATAGTCAAAATTGAAAAGGACTAGAAAGTTAAATGAGTGACTACATTATTGACTGTTTAAGTTGGTTGAAGATCTAAGTATGGCAAATGGGTGTCTGAAATTTGAAGTGATTCGCCGGAAAAAATGGCGGAATTTCGACCGGAGAAATGGGTTTTTCCGGTTGATTGGATTTGGTTCGTGAGATTTTTCCTTTGATTACTTTTCTGATGTAATTGTTTATGTTTGATGTTGGTTTTGGGGTATTTGAACTGCTATTCTGCCTAACCTCACCCACCACCACTTTAGCCTCGTGGAGGGCTCCAAGGGACAGTTGGGGCAACAATTTTGTGGGCTAGCCGACATCAGGAGAAGATAAAAATGGCCGAACTCGGCCTGAGTCCGATCGCGGGGCAGCCCGGACTTTGTCCAAAAAAAACGGCCCGTGAAGCAGTTGTGTCCAAACCTGTTATTTCAAGTTAAAGTTAGCATGATTTTCAAGCAGAGTGGTTAACACGCGCAATGTGCTTGTTATAGCTGGCCATATCCGATTAGCTATTTCAGTTTGAGGTTATGTCATAAATTGTTGGCAACATTAATGAGTGAAAATATGTAAACAAATTTTTTTTAGAGTATAAATGTGCGCACACTATTTTTTTGAGGTTAAAAAAAAGCATTTTAGAGGATATAAGGGTGCGTGTTCAATTCACCTGATTTTCACTTATCTAAATTAAGGGTCTGTTCATATTTACTTAATTTCAGTTCAGTTCAGTTCAGTTCAGCTCTAATCATTTCAGTTCAGTTCAACTCCAACCAATTCAGTTCAGTTCAGCTCTCAATTTCCCTCTCTCATAAAATATTCATTTCAGCTCAGTTGAGTTCAGTTCAGATCAGTTAAGCTCAGCTCCAATCAATTCACTTCAGTTCAGTTCAACTCAGTTCAATAAATGTGAACAGGCCCTAACTTATCTGAAATTGACTTAACTTATCCGAACTTATTCAAACTGATTTTAGTTGTAATTTGAATTTGGGTAACCCTAATCAAGACTTAACTTATCTGAACTTATTTTTTCTAAACTTAACTTATCTGAACTTATATTAACTTATCTGAACTTATTACACCTAAATAAGTGAAAGTAAGGTGAACAGAACAGATAGAGCTGTCAATTCGGGTAAACGGGTCAGGTTTGGGTCGGGTAAGAGTGAGTCCATCAACTCGGGTCGAGTCAATTTAGATTAATTCCATAACCTATGCGGGTCAGGTTTGGGTTGGGCCATGCTTGAGTCGGGTCACATCGGGTCATACTTCTTATCGGGTTTGGGTCGGGTTTAGGTCGGGTTACATTCGGGTCGGGTGAACAATAGGTCGGGTTTAATTCAGGTTTTCACGGGTTAAAACGGGTTAGGGTAATTCTCGGGTTTGAGTTAGGTTCGGTTCAAGTCAATACCGGGTTATAATCAGGTTGGGTCATTTCCAAGTCGGGTCATTCTTGGAGTCAAGTCGGATTATGTTCAAGTCAATAATTTGCAGGTTACAATTAGGTCGGATCATTTCCAAGTCAGGTCATATTCGGGTTCAACTAACTATAAATAGATAATTATCATTTTTATCAAGCTAATTATTTCCTTTGACTATAATATATATGGCAATATACTAGGGAACTATAGTTTATTATTTATGAAAATAATTATCTCCTTTGACCATACAACAAATATATACTATATTTAACTCTTAAATTTGAGGATGATGCTCCTTTCTATTGCTGGCCTGGACCGACTTGATCTCCCTAGACAAAATGCATTGATCAACAATAATAAGGTGGTCTAAATTGCATTTAAGGTGATTTGAAATCGGGTCAAGAACAATTTGGGTTGAATTTAGGTCGGGACAATAACAAGTCATGTTGATTTCGAGTCGGATTAGTAACAGATCGGGTTGAATATTTTGGGTCGGGTTAGTAATAGGTATGGAAAATTCAGGTCGGGTCAATAACAAGTTGGGTTGAATTTGGGTCAGGTCAATAACAAGTCAGGTTTATTTCGGATGGAGTTTGTAACAGAGTGGGTTAAATTCGGATTGGGTTAGGAACGAGTCGGGTTGAATTCAGGTCAGGTTAGTAAAAATTCAGGTTAAATTCGGGTTTTGACGAATTAAAACGGGTTTGGGTCAATTTCGGTTCTAGTCGGGTTCGGTGCAAGTTAATTAAATTGGCCGTTGTAAACCGGTAAATCGATGCAAGTTATAAACCGGTAAATTGGCCGTTTAAAATCAAATTGAATGGTTCCACACACCCAATTGGACTTCCGGAGGATATTAGGGACCATGGGAAACATTCCGGCAATTTTTATTTCCGGGCGAAAAAAAAGTCAAAAAAATTCCAAAATTGAAGGCTAATATCCACGCTTTTTGAGAAATTTTGGATGTTTCGGGGACCGGTGTCGAAAAAGTTTTGAAATTATTTGGGATACAACTCGGGATCATATAATGTCGTTTGGAACCATATATGATCATTATTTGTTGTCATAAATGTCCGTGGTAGACTTGAATTAATGAAATTGATGCAAATTGTAAACCATTAAATTGGTCGTTTAAAGGAAAATTGAATGGTTCCACCCACCCATTTGGAATCTCGGAGGGTATTAGGACAATGGTAAACATTTCAGCAATTTTTATTTTCGGTCGAAAAAAAAAACAAAAAATTTCAAAATTGAAAACTAATATCCACGCTTTTTGAGAAATTTTGCAGGTTTCGGGGCCAGGTGTAGAAAACTATATATTAATATTTTAGAGGATGCATCTCGGGGTCATATAATGCCGTTTGGAACCATATATGATCATTATATATTGTAATAAATGTTCGTAGTAAACTTGAGTTAATGAAATTCGAGCAAGTTGTAAACCGGTAATTAAATTGGCCGTTTAAAGGCGAATTGGAAGGTTCCACCAACCCAATTGGACCCCCGAAGGATATTAGGGACCATGGTAAACATTTAGGCAATTTTTATTTCCGGGAGAAAAAAAGTCAAAAAATTCCAAAATTAAAGACTAATATTCACGATTTTTGAGAAATTTTGGAGGTTTCGAGGCCCGGTGTTGAAAAGTCTTGAAACTTTAGGGGATACAACTCAGGTTATATAATGCTGTTTGGAACAATATATGATCATAATTTTGTTGTCATAGATGTTGTGGTAGGCTTGAGTTAATGAAATCGGTGCAAGTTGTAAATCGGTAAATTGGTCGTGTAAAGGCAAATTGGATGGTTCCACCTATCCAATGGGACTCCCAGGCGTTATTTGGGACCATGGTAAATATTTCAACAATTTTTATTTCCGGGCGATAATAAAGTCAAAATTTTCAAAATTGAAGGCTAATATCCACACTTTTTGAGAAATTTTGGAGGATTCAGGGCCCGGTGTCGAAAAGTCTTGAAATTCTAGGGGATACATACCGGGGTCATTTAATGCGGTTTGGAACCATATATTATCATTATTTGTTGTCATAAATGTTCGTGGCAGGCTTGAGTTAATGAAATCGGTGCAAGTTATAAACCGGTAAACAAAAGCAAATTGGATGGTTCTACCCACCCAATTGGACTACCGGAGGGTATTAGGGACCATGGTAAACATTTCGGCAATTTTTATTTTATGGCGTAAAAAAGTCAAAAAATTCAAAAATTAAAGGCTAATGTCCACGTTTTTTGAGAAATTTTGGAGGTTTCAGGGCACGATGTCGCAAAGTATTGAGAATTAAGGAAATACATCTGGGGTTCATATATAATAATGCCGTTTGAAACCATATATAATTATTATATGTTGTCATAGATGTTAGTGGTAGGGTTGAGTTAATGAAATAAGTGCAAGTTGTTAACCGGTAAATTTGTCCTTTAAAGGCAAATTGGATAGTTCCACCCATCCAATTGGACGCCTGGAGGGTATTAGGGACCATGGTAAACATTTGGGAAATTTTTTATTTCCGGGCAAAAATAAGTCTAAAAATTCCAAAATTGAAGGCAAATCCACGATTTTTGAGTAATTTTGGAGGTTTCGGGGCCCGGTGTCAAAAATACGGAATACATCTCAGGGTCATATAATGCCATTTGAAACCGTATATGATCATGATATTATGTCATAAATGCTCGTGGTAGGCTTGAATTAATGAAATTGATACACGTTGTAAACCTGTAAATTGGCCGTTTAAAGGCAAATTGGATGGTTCTACCCATTAAATTGGCCTCCCGAAGGATATTAGGGAACATGGTAAACATTTCGGAAATTTTTATTTCCGGGCGAAAAAAGTCAAAAAATTCCAAAATTAAAGTCTAAGATCCATGTTTGTTGAGAAATTTTGGAGATTTCGAGATCCGGTGTCGAAAAGGGTTGAAATTTTAGGATTATATCTCGGGGTCATATAATGCCGTTTGAAACCATATATGATCATTATATGTTGTCATAAATGTTCGTAGTTAACTTGAGTTAATGAAATCGGTGCAAGTTGTGAACCGGTAAATAGGCCGTTTAAAGGAAAATTAGATGGTTCCACTTACACAATTGGACACCCGAAGGGAATTAGGGAACATGGTAAATATTTCGGCAATTTTTATTTACGGGCGAAAAAAGTCAAAAAATTCAAAAATTGAAGGCTAATATCCACGTTTTTGAGAAATTTTGGAGGTTTTAGGGGATACATCTCGAGGTCATATAATGTCGTTTGGAATCTTATTAGATTATTTTATGTTGTCATATATGTTCGTGGTACGTAGCCTTGAGTTAATGAAACCGATGCAGGTTGTAAATCGGTAAATTTGTCGTTTAAAGGCAAATTGGATGGTTCCACCCACCCAATGGACTCCGGGAGGTTATTAAGGACCACGGTAAATAGTTTGTCTTTTTATTTCGGGCGAAAAAAAGTAAAATATTTCCAAAATTACAGGCTAATATCCATGCTTTTGAGAAATTTTGGAGATTTCGGGGTCCTTTGTCGAAAAGCCTTTAAATTTTAGGGGATAAATCTCGGAGTCATATAACGCCGTTTGGAATATTATATGTTGTCATAAATTTACGTGGTAGGCTTGACTTAATGAAATCGGTGCAAGTTGTTAATCGGTAAATTGGTCGTTAAAACGCAAATTGGATGGTTTCACCCACCCAATTGGACTCCCAGGGGTATTAGGGACCATGGTAACCATTTTGGAAATTTTTATTTACCGGCGAAAAAAAGTCAAAAATAAAATTCCAAAATTTAAGGCTAATATCCACACTTTTTGATAAATTTTGGAGGTTTCGAGGCCCGATATCGAAAATCCTTGAGATTTTAGGGGATACATCTCGGGGTCATATAATGTCGTTTGGAATCATATTAGATTATTATATGTTGTCATAAATGTTCGTGGTAGGCTTGGGTTAATGAAACCGATGCAAGTTATAAATCGATAAATTTG